CCGGGACGGCCGAGAAGCTGGTCTGCGCTCCCCCTCGGTGCTGCGGGGGCTTTGGAGAAGACCCCCGATCTCCAGCCCCTTCCCTCAAAGCTGTGAGCCGTGGTCCGGTTCCGGGGCAGCCCATCCTCATGTTCCCCATTTGTAGAATGGGGGTCCCCAGCCCCTACGTCAGAGACAGGAAAATATCCAGAAAACTTCGAACAGTGTGGACTCTGTGGTGAGCGCTTGGGAGCCTTCGTGGTGGGAGTGGTCGGACGAGAGGGCCCCGGAGAGGAAGAGATGGTTATGATTAAACTCCCTGTTTTACAGGGAAGGACACGAAGGCCCGGAAACATGAAGTGGCCGCCCAAGGGGCTCAGCTAGCGCCGGGCAGGACGAGAAGGGCAAGGTGCCCACCTGGGGTAACCCGCACTGCAGGATCTGGGGTGGGGTGAGCTTTTGTGCCCTGTCCGGAGTGAGCGGGTTGTGTTTAAATTTGGGGAGTCGGGGAGGGGAATTAAGTTTTAAATGAATTGCCCAGACGGTGTGGCTCAGTGGTTGAGTGTCACCTAGGAACTGGGAGGTCAGGGCACACGCCGGGGTTTCCGGGCTGGATCCCCGTGTGGGGCGTGCAGAAGCAGCCCATCAATGATTCTCTCTCATCATTGATGTTTCTATCTCTCTCTCCCTCTCCCTTCCTCTCTGAAATCCATGAAAATACATTTTTAAACATTTTTAAGTGAATGAATGTTGGGAGTGGAGAGAAGTGAGGACAAGAAGTAGCACCATCAGGACTTACAGGTATACCTCGGAGATATTGTGGACTTGGTTCCAGACTATTGCAATAAAGTGAGTCACGCGAATTTTTTGGTTTCCCTGTGCATGTTTTATGTTTACATGATACTGTGGTTTATTAAGTGTGCAATAGCAATATTTCTAAAAAATGTACATACCTTAGTTTAAAAATACTTTATTGCTTCCCTGGCGGGTGTGGCTCAGTGTTTAGAGCATTGGCCCGCACACTGAAGGGTCTTGGGTTCAATGTCCAGTCAAGAACATGTACCTGGGTTGCAGGTTTGATGGGGAGGCAACCTATCCATATGTCTCTTCTCTCTCTCTCTCTCTCTCTCTCTCTCTCTCTCTCTCTCTTTCTTTCTCTCTCTCCCTCCCCCCTCCCCAGCCTTTACACTCTCTAAAAGTCCATGAAGCCCCAGCTGATTTGGCTCAGTGGACAGAGTGTCAGCCTGTGGACCTAAGGGTCCCAGGTTCGATTCCCAGTCAAGGGCACATACCTCGGTTGCAGGTTCGATGCCCCACCCCTGTCCAGGTGCGTGCAGGAGGCAACCAGTGGATGTGTCTCTCTCACATCAAAGTTTCTCTCTGTGTGTCCCCCACCTTCCCTTCCATTCTCTCTAAAAATCAGTGGGAAAATATCCTCGGGTGAGGAGTAAAAAAAAAAAGTAAAAAATAATTTAAAAATAAAAGTCAATGGAAAATATATCCTCAAGTGAGGATTTTTTAAAAAATTCTTTATTGCTAAAAAATGCTAACCATCATCTCAGCCTTCTGTGAGTCCCTTTTGCTGGTGGAGGGTGTTTTCTCAATATTGATGGCCGACTGATCGCAAATCAACATCATAATAATGAAAAAGTTTGAAATGAAATATTGCAAGTATTACCAAAATGGGATTAGATGAAGTGAGCAAATGCTATTGGAAAATAGCACTAATAGACTTGCTTGATGCTGGTTGGCCACAAACCTTCAATTTGTAAAAAAAAAAAAAAAAAGTAAGCATTGCCCTGGCCGGTTTGCCCTGTGGTTAGAGTGTTGGCCTTCAGACCGAAGGGTCGCTGGATGGAATCCCAGTCAAGGGCACATATGTCAGTTGCAGGTTTCCCAGCCCTGGTGGGGACGTATGTGGGAGGCAGCCAATGTGTTTTTCTCACATGGATGTTTCTCTCTCCCCTCCCCTCTCCCCTCCCTTCCACTCTCTAGAAATCAATGGGGAAAATATCCACGGGTCATTATTTAAAAACAACAACACACAACTCAGTATCTGGAAAGCACCAGAAAGTGAAGGGAAATGAATGTATGCCTGCTTAAATAGGATGAGAAAGATTTTGGATTTAGGAGCCCAAAGAAGTTTTGAATTCTTTTTTGAAACCATTACTTTGCTGGCAAATTCTTTATCCACGTGGCATTTCCCCCATGGTCCAGACAGCTCAGTAGCTTCCCATCTGAGCTCCCATTTTGGTTTCTGTCTCTGGCACAGGGTGTCTCAGCCTGGGCATTCCTGGCATGAGGGGCCAGGTCATTCTTTGTGGCGTGAAGCTGTCCTGTGCATGGTAAGCTCTGTATGTTTAGCAGCACTTCCCATGCCCCCTCCACTTCACCTCCAATGGTCACCACTAAAATTGTCTCCAGACATTGCCAGATGGCCCCAGTGGACAACCACTGACCTAGGGTCAAAAATGAAGACATAGATAAATCTGCCCTGGCTGGTGTGCTCAGTGGTTAGAGCATCGGCCCACCAACCAAAGGGTTTCCGGTTCAATTCCCTGTCAAGGGCACGTACCTGGTTGCAGGTTCAATCCCACGCTCTGGTTGGGGTGCATGTGGGAGGCAACCAATCAATGTGTCTCTCAAATTTATATGTCTTGCCCTGGCTGGTTTGGCTCAGTCACTCGCAGCGGTTCTCAACCTGTGGGTCGCGACCATCGGAAAACACATATAGCATATCAGATATTTACATTACGATTCATAACAGTAGCAAAATTACAGTTATGAAGTAGCAATGAAAATAATTTTATGGTTGGGGGTCACCACAACATGAGGAACTGTATTAAAGGGTTGCGGCATTAGGAAGGTTGAGAACCACTGACTCAGTGGATAGAGTGTCAGCCTGTGGACTGAAGGGTCCCAGGTTCGATTCCGGTCAAGGGCACATGCCCAGGTTACAGGCTCGATCCCCAGTGTGGGGCGTGCAGGAGGCAGCCAGTCAATGATTCTCTCCCATTATTGATGTTTCTTTCTCTCCCCCTCTCCCTTCTTCCCTGAAATCAATAAAAATATATTTTCCAAAAAAAATTATGATTATCCTTCTCCCTCCCACTCTCTAAACAAAAATCAATGGGAAAAATATCTTTGGGTGAGGATTAACAACAACAACAAAAAAAAGAGATAAAACTGTTAGTTTTCACTAAATAGATTTTGAATTCTTTAACCATTTTCCTGCGCCAGAAAGTACAAACTATATTAATTATCTTACTCTGGAGATTCTTAAAATAGGCAGATTTCATGGAAACTGGTTGACCCAGTTGGATTATCTGAAACACAACGGATGATTATAATGGACAGTTCAGCTGAGTGAAACAGGCATTGGCCCAGAATCAGGAAATCTGGGTTCTGTCCCTAGTTCTGCCATTACAAGTGCTGTGGCCTGGTCACCTAAGCTCTCTAGACCAGCGGTTCTCAACCTGTGGGTCGCGACCCCTTCGGCGGTCGAACGACCCTTTCACAGGGGTCGCCTAAGACCATCCTGCATATCAGATATTTACATTACGATTCATAACAGTAGCAACATTACAGTTATGAAGTAGCAACGAAAATAATTTTATGGTTGGGTCACAACATGAGGAACTGTATTTAAAGGGCCAGAAGGTTGAGAACCACTGCTCTAGACTCATTTACTCCTCTGTCAAATGAGGATATTTTATTTCTAAGAACCTGGAAATGCTCAGTTTCTGACAAGATACCTTCAAACCTTTTCCCTCACCACCACCAAAGTTATTTAAGCGGCCCAGGCCCTTTCCCAGTTGCTCCTCCACTTCACTTCCAAATGTATTTTGTTATATCTCTTAGCCTCCCAGCCTGTTCCCTTTAACACATATTTCAAAATCAGTTCTTCCAGGCTGTGGTTACCATTCAAACAAACTCATTATTATTCCTGATGCTAACAAGTAAATTATGGTGGTGTGTAACACAGCTGTGACAAGGCCCTGTTTGTGGAAATGATGGTGTTTAAGCACACGACACCCTGGTGTTGGCATGAGGGAAAATAAAATAAAAATTTAAATTGGTTTTTTAAAATGCTTCATGATGTGGTGCTTAAATTATAAGAATTAAATTATAAATTATTCTGATCCAGCTCATATTCATACAAAAAAGTCATAGATATCCCTTTAATGAATTCTCTTTAGCACCCACCTGCCTTTTCATGTGTTCTGCACTTGTCAGATTGGGGTCATGGGTCAGAAAATCCTATGTGCTATCAGGAATTTGGGTACTGCTCATAAAAAAATAGGCTGATAACCTGGCCAGGTGGCTCAGTTGGTTGGAGTGTCATCCTATACACCAAAAGGTTTTGGGTTCAATTCCTAGTCAGGGATGTGTGGGAGGCTACCAATAATGTCTCTCTCTCTCTCTCTCTCTCTCTCTCTCTCTCTCATCAATAAAAACATATCTTTGAGTAAGGGTTTAAAAAAAGAAGGCTGGCCCTAACTGGTTTGGCTCAATGGATAGAGCGTCGGCCTGCGGACTCAAGGGTCCCAGGTTCGATTCCGGTCAAGGGCATGTACCTTGGTTGCAGGCACATACCCAGTGGGGAATGTGCAGGAGGCAGCTGATCGATGTTTCTCTCTCATC